GGATGGATGGATAAATGAGGGCCCGTCTCTCATTCCCTGAATTGATCATCTCTCTGGCTTCCAATGGCAATGCCCGAGTGAAAAGGAAGATACCTCTAGGATTCAAGGCATTTCCCGGCCTGGAAGAACAAAATGTGCTAGACTGAGCAATGAGGGGAGTCTACTGGGGAGATAGAAATATCCAGAGCATACCAAAAGGGGTCAGTCTTAAAGCAGATTTGATGCTCCCAGTCCTGGGGTGACACTACCCCTTGGGTCTCAAGGCCGGGCCCCCTCCTCTGCAATTCAGCACAGGCTCCACCACCATGCCCTCTGGCTATGACTCCAGGGTGCAGGGCAGGTGGGCTTCGTGGATGACCTCTCGGACAGTGGCCCGGAAAGTCTTGGTGACTGGTCTGGTTCTGCTTAACTCCCTGCCCTGGAGCCATAACAGGTTCAGGGGCCCAGAGTTTTCAGTGTTGCTGTTGACAAGAGAGGAAATGGCCTCCCAGCCCAGGCACCAGGGGAAGATTTAGCCACGTCCCTCCTGGCTGGCGGGACGTTTGTCAGGACCCTTGAATCTCTGGTTGACCCCTCTGACCCACTCCCCTTAGGAGATAGGCTTCTGCCCTGCCCCTCCCCAACCCCCTGAAGGCCCCTTTCTGCTTTCAGCTGCTGCCAGCAGAGAGGCAGCTGGGAGAGATTAGCAGACGGAACTCCCACGTGCTCCAGCCACTGAGTAAACACATTAGCAACCTAGACAGGCTGCTTTCTGCTTCTGGCCTGGCTGAGCTGACCTTTCCCTTGAATGTGAGGTCCCGCCTGGCCACCGTTGCACCCAACCCCTTAATGGGTGACATAGGCCAAGAGCCAGATGTGTGCCAGGCACACCGTCATGCAAAATAAATGTTCGGCTTTCGGTGTTCTCCTCTGCTCCTTCTCAGAGTGGTGCTGTCCAGGCAGGGAGCTTCAGCCAAGCACAGAACGAGATTAAGGCTGGTCCCCACCTCCTATGCACGATTCCCAAACCCTGAAAGCTCTGCAAGCCAAAAGATTTTCCCCAAGTTTGCCACAAATTCCCATTTAGTGGCAAAATCTGCCCTGTACTGACATGAGGCTGTTAAAACCACTGTTATTAAAACCACGGTTATTTATCATCTTCATTTAGTCAAGGTTGGTAGTTCTAGTCCACCCAGTGGCGCTGCAGAAGAAAGGCTTGACTGTCTATTTCCTTCAGATTACAACCATTGAAAACCTATGGTGGGACACACGTGGGGTCACCGTGAGTCAGAATTGACTCAATGGTAACAGGTTTATTTATTCCTGTTACTTTGAATACTCCTGTGTTTCACTATTAGTGGGTGTGGCTATATGCTGCAGGCCACACCCACCTAGAACCATGATCTAACAGGCAGTGTAGACGACACGGTACCTTTCTTAGAGCTGAAAAGTTCTGAATTCTAGAGCTCATCTGGTCCCAAGAAGTTCAGAGAAAGGATTTGTTGTTGGTTGGTTGCGTTTTTAATCTGTCTTAAAACGAGTTCGTCACTTTTGTAAGCATGTCACTGAGATGTAAACGAAGGGTATTATTAAAAGCACTGTTATTGGTCTCCTTTTTGGACTTTTATCATTAAACTCTGGCTTTAGAGAGAGAAACACTGCAATGGTTTGGGTTTACCCTCGCCTCCTTCCCCAACCCATTTGCTGAAATACCGTAGTTAGCAGAAACCCTTTTGGAAATTCTAAGTTTCTTCCTTACCCATCCCACCATGTGTTGTCTGATTGGTCAGCTGATCTCACGTTCTGTCATTAACCCTTTGTTGAGGGCCGTCAGTTTGGTAGGTGTCAGTCACTTCTTCCCAAGCCTTTATTGTTTTTTTTTTTAACTGATTTTTGCTGCTTTGAAAGCTGATTGACAAATTATTTTCTGACCTTTCTATTTATGGTTATGTCAAGGAGAAGCGTTGATGTGACCGTGTATCCAGTTTTTTACGAAAGTAACGTTCCCGTTAGCTCTATATGAAATCCTTGCCTGTTACAGATTGCATTGTATCCCCGCCCCCAACACATGCACAAAAAATATGTTGAAGTCCTAGTCCTCAATACCTGTGAAAGTGGCCTTGTTTGGAAATAGGGTCTTTGCAGATGTAATTAGTTAACATGGGGTCATGCTGGAGCAGGTGGGCCCTAACCCAATCTAACTGGTGTCCTTATAAGATGAGGAGAAGAAACATAGGCAGAGACAGGGACACGGACACAGAGGGCAGACGGCCACATGAAGACAGAGGTAGGGACTGGAGTGATGCTGCAGAAGCTAAAGAATGCCTGGAGCCACCGGAAGCTGGAAGAGACAAGGAACTATCTTCCCCTAGAGCCTTCGGAGAGAGCCTGGCCCTGCCAACACCCTGAATTTGGACTTCTGGCTTCTAGAACTATGAGACAATAAATTTCTGTTGCTGGAAGGCACCCAGTTTGTGGTACTTTGTTATGACAACCCCAGGAAATCCATAGACCACCCTCCTTCTCTTCTCCACATTGATGTAGCAGGATTCAAAGTCAGTCTTACATCTTTAAACATTATGGCTCTTTTCTTCTTGAATGCTTGAACGATCACAAAATTCTTGAAGTATTAAACCTTGAGGATGAGCTGTCCAAGGGAAGATGTCTTTTGTTAAGAAATTTCCCCAAGGAAGTCAGCACAACTTCACCAGGGCAAAGTCACAGAAGCTTCGCAGACATATCCAAATGCCCTGAGAGACCGAGCTATTGGGCTGAGGGCTGGAGACCATGGTCTCGGGGGACATCTAGCTCAATTGGCATAACATAGTCTATGAAGAAAATGTTCTACACCCAGCTGTGGTGAGTAGCAACTGGGATCTTAAAGCCAGCGAGCAGCCATCTAAGATACATCTACTGGTCCCATCCCGGCTGGAGCAAAGGAGGATGAAGACCAGAGACACAAGGGAAAGATTAGTCCAAAGGACTAATGGACCACTACTACCACAACCTCCTCCAGACTGAGCCCAGAACAACTAGATGGTGCCCAGTTACCACCACCGACTGCTCTGGTGGGGATCACAGTAGACGGTCCCAGACAGAGTGGGAGAAAAAAATGCAGAACAAAATTCAAATTCACATACACACACACACACACACAAAAGACCAGGCTTGCTGGTCTGACAGAGACTGGAGAAACTCCAAGAGTATTGCCCCGGACACCCTTTTAACTCAGTACTGAAGTCACTCCCGAGGTTCATCCTTCAGCCAAAGATTAGACAGGTCTATAGGGCCAACAACGACACACTTGAGGGACGTGCTTCATAGGTCAATCATGTATAGGAGACTAATGGGCACACTGGTCCAAAAGCAAAGATGAGAAGGCGGGAAGGGACAGGAAAACTGGACAAATGGAAACAGGGAACCTGGGGTGGAGAAAGGGAGAGTGTTGACACATCGTGGAGTTGGCAATCAATGTTACAAAACAATTTGTATATTAACTGTCTAAAGAGAAACTGATTTGCTCTGTAAACTTTCACCTAAATCATAATAAAAAAAAGAAATGAAAAGAAAGAGAAATTTTCCCCAAGTAAACTGCTATTTTGTTGTTGTTGTGTGCCATTGAGTCAATTCCAACTCATAGCAACCCAGGGTAGAACTGCCCCGTGGGTTTCCTAGGCTGTAATCTTTACGGAATGTAATCTTTATGGAAGCAGATTGCCACATCTTTCTCCCACGGAGCAGCTGGTGGGTTCGAGCCTCTGACCTTTTGGTTAGCAACTGAGCACTTAACCACTGTACCACCAGGGCTTCCTAAACTGCTGTACCAAAAACAATCCTACTGCTGTCAAGTCAATTCCAACTCATAGCGACCCCATAGAGTTTCCAAGGCTGTAAATCTACAGAAGCAGACTGCCACGTCTTTCTCCTGAGGAGCTTCTGGTGGTTTCAAACCACCAACCTTTCAATCAGCAGTCCGGTGCTTTAACCACTGTGCCACCAGTGTTCCTTAGACTGCTACAGTGCTTTTAAGTTCCACCCTGACACTACCTTTTGGTTCAAAAAAGTTTCTTTATTTTCTTTATCATGGTCAGGGCTGCTGGCCCCTGGCCCCCCTCTGCCACTCTTATTTATTCGCAGGCAGGAGGTCTTTATGCTGTACGCTAGGTGTTCTGAGTTCTCTTTATTGTACCCACATCTAATGTCATTTTCTGATTCTGTGTGGGTTTCCAAGTCTGCACATGTTTCTGGCATACTACAGATTCCTTTTTTTTTAAAAAATAAATTTGTTGTTGTTGTTGAAAATGCACACAGCAGAACATATACCAATTCAACAATTTCTACTACAAGTACATTTCAGTGACA